GAGTTTAAATGGTGGGTTTTACTAACAAAGACTCACCAGTTTCCTGGAATGTATTACGTATGGATCTGTTAACATACAGTTATTGCATAAGAAATTCTAGTTGCAAACTTTCCATCAGAGTGCTTGACGAGCATTTCGGGAGAGAATTCTTTCCAACCATGAGCTTTCGTGGAGGATATCAGCAATACCTGTAGGAGAACAGTGAGCCAAGCCCAAATCCTTAGAAAATTGATTGAACTACTCTAGGCAAATGACAGAAGAAATAGGGTGATTGATCTTCTTGACTTTTGAAAATATTTCCACTCCAACTAAATTTGGCCACCACCTCATTCAAATTGTGGAACACAGTGTTTACTAGACTTAATTGAAAATAAGCTTGAATTCTCAAGTGTCCACCTCTTTGCACCCGTCTTTTCACTTGAATTCACATGGTAATGGTCTGAGCGATAACATACTAATTCATTTCCTCATTGTGATGGATCTGGTAGACTGCAAGAATTTTTTAGACATACTTTTTAAAGAACTGTATTGTTATTGTGATTGATCAACTGGTGTGCACAATGTAAAAATATCCTAAAAGTTATTCTGATTGGAAAGAAAAAAATGACGAGTTATTTCATCCTTCTGACATGCAACTGATGTTTGATTCAAGCATTTAGCTCTGGTTATTTATAACTTATTGGTTGTTTCAACGTTTATGCATCTGCAGTGGACTCCACCTAATGTCAGTGTACCTATTCTAAATCTGGTTGACAAGATATTTCAGCTCAACAGGAGAGGCTGGCTAAGGTTCCATTCTTTTCACTTCTACATATTCTTTCAATGCCATTGACTATGATATGTTGTTTCCATGAGTATGCGACTTAATTATTCATGGCCTCTGTATTTTCTGCTCGGCTATCGGTTGTTTCTTATCTGGACCCAAGTTGCTTCTCACCCCCCACATTTTCTGCATAATTGTTGGTGGCTGCTTTATATGTAGATCCGTTCTCCCCAGTTGCTCTGCTTAAAGAAATTCTATATCTAGAGTTTGTATTTTTTATTTCTCTATTTCTAACTCTATGCAGTTGCATAGCTTTTTGCATGGATGAAATTTTATCCGAGGGTCGAGAACCTAGATTATAACCGACAGCTTCAATTTTTTTTGTTATATTTATATTTCAAATTGTTTTGATACAGGAGGCAGGTCCTTTGGATATCAAAACAAATATTACAGTTAATTATGGAAGATGCTATTGATGACTGGATTGTTAGGCAAATACACTGGCTTCGGAGAGAGGACAATATTGCTCAGGGTATTCGCTGGGTCCAAAATGTAAGTATCTAAACTATTAAGGATTTTGATACTGTGTAGTGTTCAAATTCACTGAAAAGCTGAATATCTTAGGTTCACTTGAAACTGAAGATTGACAGAATTAGTAATTATGGTTTCTTCCCTCTCCCCTGGCACGGGAGTTCAAGAGTCCCGACTCTTATGTCTATGGCAGGAACCAAACAGACCCAAAATGTATTGCAATATAGTAAGGAACATACAAAAGATAAACAAGTAATTTGAAGTACTTGCAATGTAACGGCCCAAGCCCACTGCTAGCAAATATTGTTCTCTTTGGGTTTTCCTTTTCGGACTCCCCCTCAAAGTTTTTAAAACAGTCTGCTAGGGAGAGGTTTCCACACCCTTAAAAAGAAGGATTCGTTCTCCTCCCCAGCCAATGTGGGATCTCACAATCCACCCCATTTGTGGCCCAACGTCATTGTTGGCACTTGTTCCTCTCTCCAATCGATGTGAGATCTCACAATCCACCTCCCTTCGGAGCACAACGTCCTCACTGGCACACTGTTCGGTGTCCACCTCCCTTCGGGGCTCAGTGTCCTTGCTGGCACACCACCCAGTGTCTGGCTCTGATACCATTTTTAACGGCCCAAGCCCACCGCTGGCAGATATTATTCTCTTTGCTTTTCTTTCGAGCTTCCCCTCAAAATTTTTAAAATGCGTCTGCTAGGGAGTGGTTTCCACACCCTTATAAAGAATACTTCGTTCTCCTCTCAATTGATGTGGGATCTCACAATCCACCCCCTTCGAGGTCCAGTGTCCTCGCTAGCACTCGTTCCTCTCTCCAATTGATATGGAATCTCACCTGCACTCTCCATCCAATCGATATGGAATCTCACCTGCACTCTCCACTCATGAGATCTCTCCCAATCCCTTATTCACGAATCAAACTAAAGCCTATCTTCTCCCTCTATATATAACCAAATACCCCAACAATACTAATATACCCTCATATTATTCCTTTCAGCCTATTCGGTTGAAGAATTGCTTTAGTTTCTTCATAGAGAATTTGTCATGAAATGGTTCTGATTAGTTAGATTGCTGCTACGGATTTTAAAGTTTTTATGCTAAAGAATTATTAGTAACCGTTGCAGACAAAGCTATGCTACCATAGTGCAAGAAGTTTTGGTGGCGTATTTTTATAAGACCATGAAAATAAATACGTTAGATTCCCTTCTGGTTGTTTTTGTTTCAAGTTAATTCATACATAGAGACAAGAAACAAAATTCTCTCAATCATGTTAAAAATTCACAGTTACGCATGCCTTTAATGTTCTTATGCAGAACAATTAAATTAGAATACTTTGCATTGGCTTGATTATCATCATTTTCATTTCTCATATTTCATTCTATCTTGAGTGCCTTTTCTTTTTTTAATGATTGGACATACATCTGATTTTTTTTATCAGAAGTGATACTGTGAGAAATTATAGCGGTAACAACAATCATCCTAATTTTTCATTTAACCAATGAAAATGTTATTTTACCTTATAAAGAACAAGTGATATAATAAGGGAAAGAAAATTCATTCTACCTTTGCTCTTTTAGGTTCTATGGCCCAATGGAATATTCTTCATACATTTGAGGAATGCTCAAAGTGAAGGTGATGATTCTCAATCTACTTCTAGCCAAACCGATGGAAGTAAGATCCCTAAGCCTGGATCTTTCGAGCTGCAGCTTGAGGCTGCTCGCCGAGCTAGTGATGTCAAGAAAATGCTTTTTGGTGAGTAATGCTTTCTTTCTGTGACATGGAAAAAAAGTGTGCATCTGAAGTGTTTACATTGAAATGTTGGATTATTCTTTTCTATACGTTCTAAACTATTCATAAAGGTGCCTCGTATTTTCTTGCTCCTCGTGCTCTTCTTCGAATATTTAACCTCCTTATTTGCTTGAATTTTTCGATGGTGCTCCTCGCATTTTATGGACATGCATACTTCGTTAATATTCTCGTTCCAGATTAAATGATCTTATTAACATTTCGCTCGTAAAATATCATAATCTTGCTGTTGTTTGTTTTTATCATATTCATGAATTTAGAATCGTCTAAATCGAGTTTGTCTCACTTGCTCTTTACAAACGAGAAGCAAGAAAATTGACAATCTAGCTACCATTGCTATCTTTTTAGATGGGGCTCCAACACCATTGGTAAGCTTGATAGGGCATACGCAATACAAAAGATGCGCAAAAGATATCTATTACTTCACTCAGGTGGGTTAGCATCAATAACTTTACATTTATCTTTCAATTGACAACCTGAGTAAAATTTTGTGAATCTGCAGTCTACCATCTGTGTAAAGCAACTTGGGTATGGATTACTCGAACTATTACTTGTATCAGTTTTCCCTGAGCTACGGGATTTAGTAATGGAGATTCACGATAAGCCGCCACACGTCTCGGAACCAGTCTAGTGACCAAACAGAGTACTCTGCAACCTCTAATCCAGGTTATACCTGCTTCTTCTTCCTCCAATCCCCAGCCCAGAATCTCAGGGTTTTTTTTTTTTTTTTTTAATTTAGCATTCAGGTTCCCTCAGTTTTGATGGTTGATAGAAGTCTTTAAGTGATGAACACAATCAGGAGTTTTGTGGATTGCTGTAAATGCCTTTGTGAATAGAAAGGGTTCTGCTTGTCCTTTTTTTGTTTTTAACTTTGTATAGTATTTTAGTTTTAGGATGTCTATAGAATTAGTGGTACAGCAGGTGGTGATGAACAATATTCTTCTTCTTCTTCTTCTTCTTTTTTTTTTTTTTTTTTTTTTTTTTTTTTTTTTTTTTTTTTTTTTTTTTTTTTTTTTTTTTTTTTTTTATGGTAATTTATGATCCTTTCCTCTTGCCCCTGTTGATTCATTTTTTATTTTATTTTTATAAGTGATTGATATTGAAGATTATTTATTCATTATTCCATTCCATTTGTTTATATTAATTTCTATGAGATTTAATTTTTTAGGGTTTTTTATTTGCAGTCAAACTATATAGTAAAAATATTATTAGTCTTTGAAAGGTGTTACGATATTGTCTTTGACGAGACTAAACTGGTAGCAGCCACATGTTCGGACCGGACAAAGATGTTTTATACTTTTTTATTCCTAAATTTTCGAGTTGGTTAGGAACGTAACTTTCTATTAACAATTTTTATTTTCTGAAATTTAAGTTGATTTCTTCTGAGTTCTATTAATATATTTTCATCTTTATTAGATAAAGATTTAAGAGGTGTATTTTCTTAACTTTAAAAATTTAATGAATAACACATCGATAAAACTATACATAAAAGTAACATTTCTAAATTTCATTAAAACGAAAACTAACTATTTTGAACAAATTCATATGGTTAAGGAAAATATTTTAAACTTTTTTTCTTCGAAATAAAAAATATTTTAAATATAGTTCAAAATTCAACCATTTAGGTTAGATTGACCTAATAATATTCGAGCAAGTAAAAAAGTGAAAGGTTTCAAATGTTGAGACCAATTCGACCCTGAAAAATATGAAAATATTGATTCGATCCTCTGGTCGATGAACGTATGGGATGAAAATATTGATGGAAATTAGAAGCTTTCGGATCAAACAAATTAAAGCTTATGTTTATAGTATCCCCTACTAATGTAATATCATACAAGATTGAAGAAATGAACCCTTTTCGTTGGCTAATATTCAAAGGTTTCAAAAATCATTGGCATTTCTAATCTGTTTATGAACCACTCATACGCCTCTTACCTTATCCATATCCCTCTCACCATCTTCTTCTTCAATATCTCTCACCCAAATTCCCCCAATTTCTCTTCCACACAGGTTTCGATCCCTTCTTTTCTTTCCCCAAATCCCTTTTTCCCATCTGGGTTTTCACTTAATTTCACTCTTCCTCTTCTTTCAGGCATCAATCAATGGCGGCTACAGCCTCCGCTACCCTCTCGCCGGCCATATCCACCGCCGCCCCCATCGCCGCCGGCTCTAGGCGGCAGAGGAACACCAATGTCCATTACATCACTGGCCTCAACTCCTTTGGTGGCTTGAAAGCTCACAACAATATCTTCTCCTTGGGCCTTCCCGTTTGTGCCGATCAGTCATTTGCTAACATTGTGAGTTCTTTGAAATACCCATCAAAGGGAAAAGGCAAAAACGGCGGTGGGGCTCTCTCTTCTACCTGTAATGCCGCCGGTGAGATTTTCAGGATCGCCGCCATTATCAATGGGCTTGTTCTTGTTGGAGTGGCGGTGGGGTTTGTTCTTCTCAGGATTGAGGCATCTGTGGAGGAGGCAGAGTGAGTGAGAAGGTGCTATAATGTTAATGGTGATATTGTTGAATCAATCAGAATTTGTAAGTTAATCTGTTACTTTTACTACTTATAACTCAATTGTTTCTATCAGTCAAAACTATCGACAAAATTCATTTGGCCTCTTTCTCTTTCTCCCTTTCTGCTTTCGAAAGAATGGCAATGTAGTATGTTGTTCTTCTGTTTGGATGGGAGGAAAATGCATATTCTTCTAGAGATCGACCGGTTTTTAGGTTAGAATCATTCAAGCTTGACATGATTGACCTTGTAGAGTGATCTGAATCTCAAACAAGTATTCTGAGCCTTTGAGATATTTGATCAACAAGATGATATGAATTTTACTTTCCCTTGGAATGATTTCTTATCATCAAGGCCGAGTGTTCTTACCTTTCGTTAGCTAAAGACTAAATTTCTTTGTGATTCTACGTAGTTTAAGTTGCATGTTTAGAATCATTCAAGCTTGACATGATCAAGCTTGCTTGTGGAGGGATTCGAGTCTCAACCATGTTCTTGTCTTGAGATATTTGATCAATAATGTGATCTAAATTTTGCTTTCCCATGGAGTGATTTCTTATCATTAGGGTCAAGTGTTCTTACCTTTTCTTATCGAAGGGTTAAGTTTCTTTGCAATTCTATATAGTTTAGATGACATGTCTAGAATCATTCAAGCTTGTGGAGTGATTGAGTCTCAACCAAATATTCTTGTCTTGAGATATTCGATCAATAAGGTAATCTGAATCTTACTGCCGTTGTAGTGATTCCTAATCATGTTAAGTGGGAGGTAGTAGTTAAGCTAGTGGAGTCGGGTGGCCTAGCCATAGGGAGCTTCAGTTCACGTAATGAAGCTCTGCTGGTGAAATGGTTGTCGACCCTCGATCCCTCTAGAGGGTTCTCTTCCGATACTTTCTTTTGTATGTTCTTTGTTCTTCTCCCACCCCAAATCACCTCCTCTTTCATCTGGGAGGTTAAAATCCATTTACATGGGAGAGTCAACACTATGGACCGTGTTCGAATACATTCTTCGTGTTGTGTTGTATCAGCAGCGGTGTGTTCTTTGTAGGAATCATGCAGAGAATATCAGTAAGAAAAGTTCTTTCATACCATAAATGCTAGAATATCAAACAGTAAAAGAGATGAAAAGTAGGGCCTTAAAGGGAAGGATCTTTTTATTCGTGTGGGATTCCAATTGAATCGGGTTTCGAGCGTGTTTCAATAACGCTCGCATCTGCAGGATTGGATCAGTTCTTCATGTGTGATTCTTACAGAATCGGGTTCATCCTGGAAGTCGACTTCAGTAGCAAGTTTCAGTCTGCAAAACATTCATAAGTTATAGATGTATTTATTCTGATTGATGATTTTAACAACAGCGATATCACAGCCTTTTTAGTCTTTATAGGATATTGTCTCGACCATTTTGACCAATTGATTCACCTCATTCATGACCGTTCTAGACATCTTTCACGCTTCTCAAAGCTGCTCGTAGTCCGATAGCTGGATCTTTGGGGTGCAAGTTTCAGATTTTGTACATTTGAGGCTTATAAATCCAGTAAATATGAGAATTCCTGCTAGTATCCAACTGAATTGCAGGTTAGCGAGCGCTCGTGCCCTCATATCAGCTTCCTTGGAGTCACAAATGACTGCTCCGAGCATCATTTCGTCTTTACCGTTCTCCACAATCCTCATGCTGCAGCCCTTAGGAACTAAGTTTGAAACCCATAGCATGAACCCCATGTTCATGAACCAACACCCTTGCAAAACAACCAATAACGAAAGAACAAGGGCTGCTGGAAAGCAGGTAGGACAACAAGCAGCTACTATTACCGACCCGAGCGATGCAAACACAATGAGCTGCAAGAGCCAATGGTAATGGCCTTCAATGCCATTATGGTCAGCCGAGTGGAAATGAAGCAAGAACAGTTCTTGACTAAAGACACAGGCTGCAAAGACACCCTCAACCCCAGACAATAAGTTCGACGAACGGTTCAGCTCGTTGTAGAGGGCAAACCCCGAAAATACTGCAAGGTGCAGGAACATCGTTGCGTGCTCAAAGTTGATGACATTGAAAGACAAGTGAACGAAAGGGTAGTCCCAAAATTGTCCAAAAATTCCAAGGACCGAAAAAGAGAACACGAGAATGAGCTCTAAGTACTTGAGATTGGAATGGGGCCGATCGAGAGGGTACCAAAATTTTACTTTAAAGTTTGAGCCGCATCCAAGATTGTAGGCTTTGATTGTATTCACGGTATGCCAGAGGCCAAGAAGAGTGAATACAAAACCAGAAGCTATGTGAGGAACAAATTGCCCCATTGAAACCTCTGTTTTCAAGACCTATAGCTTACCAAGTTCATCCAAAAGCCAGGGCAATCTTATAGATACAACCTAATAATGCATGATGGTCGTTCACGCAAGTGCTTGGTGCATAATGTATGTGCTTCCACTACAAAAGTTATTGCCAAAAGTTGATAAGTTGATAAAGGAGCTTCAAAATTTGGATGGGTGATGGATCAGTTCAATTCTTAGATGCAAAATGTAGAAAATGAACTAAAACAAGATTTTGCAATGGTTAATCTTACCTTGGGTTAAAACCCGGGTTCATTCCCATGCGACCACCTACCTATATTTAGTATTCCACGAGTTTTTGACAATAGAATGTAACAAGATCAGATGATGGTCTTGAGAGATTACTTAAAATACGTGCAAGCTTGTAATAGCTCAAGCCCACTGCTAGCAGATATTGTCCGCTTTAGCCCGTTACGTATCTCATCAGCCTCACGGTTTTAAAACACGTCTGCTAGGGAGAAATTTCCACACCCTTATAAGAAATGTTTCGCTTTCCTCTCCAACCGATATGAGATCTCACAATCCACCTCCCTTAGGGGCACAATAGCTCTGATACCATTTATAATAGCCTAAGCTCATCAATAGCAGATATTGTCCACTTTAGTTCATTATTTATTACCATCAGCCTCACGATTTTAAAACGTGTCTACTAAGGAGAGGTTTCCACACCTTATAACGAATGATTCGTTCTCCTCTCCAACCGATGTGGGATCTCACAAACCTAATCCAAACGCTCACAAATATTCAAATAATAAGTAAAAGAAGAAGAATATGAACTCGTAGTATTAGATGGACATATGTCATCCATCCAAAACGAGCCTAAATGGTTACAAATGGAGTTACAATAAAAACTCCAGAAACCACCAAAGAAGGAAAAAAGTTAAAATTAAGTGAGACATAATGGGTAGCACCCATTAGTCCACGTTCAACGAAAGCTTAGAAATGTAAATAAGAATCATATTTAAAAGTACTTACATGATTGATGTGGCTCACAATTTAAGCATTAGAGTACTCAGAAGTTGCAAGGAGTTTAGTGGGCAAACCAATGAAAATAGTGATAGCGAAAGCAAGCAATAAACGAAGCAGATTGTATAAATGGTAAAGATTTAGTGCATGCCTTCCTAGATGCTTATTGGCTCTATATATAAAGAAAGTAGACATCAAAAAGCCAAGTGGGGGAAAACTTTTGTTTCAGACTAACAGGAAAAACCGTGAAAGGACCGCCTAGAATGACCCAACATTGAATGCCCATTTCGAATCTGTAATAAAGCCTTTCGTAATCTTATCTCATCCCTTCCTTTATTGTTCTAATTCGACCGATGATATAGTAAAAGATGAGACGTCCTGCTCACTCGAACCAAGATGAGCCACAATTGTAATGATCCATGTCTCTAACTTTTGATGACTATACAGGAAGAAAGACTAACGGTCTTGTCTTTGAATTATAGTAGAGACTGCACCGTCGATGGGAAAGAGATAAGGGTAGATAGTTTCCCTTTGGATTCTGCTTGAGGTTTTAGCCTTAGCTGAGGATGAGAGGTATCAAAGGAACAACTGACATTGAATGTCTGATTGTAACAGCCCAAGTTTACCGCTAGCAGATATTGTCCTCTTGGGCTTTTCCTATTTGACTTCTCCTCAAGGTTTTAAAACGCATATGTTAAGGAGAGGTTTCCACGCCTTTATAAGTAATGTTTCGTTCCCCTCTCCAACCAATGTGGGATCTCACAATCCACCCCCCTTTGGGGTCCAGCGTCCTCGCTGGCACACCGCCAAATGTCTAGCTCTGATACCATTTGTAACAGCCAAGTCCACCGCTAGCAGATATTGTCCTCTTTGAGTTTTCCCTTCTAGGCTTCTCCTCAAGGTTTTAAAACGTGTCTGCTAGCTAGGGAGAGGTTTCCACACCCTTATAAGGAATGTTTCGTTCCCCTCTCCAACCAATATGGGATCTCACACTAATTCTGCTTCAAGGATTGTCTTTTTACCATTAGAACATCACATCTTATAATGATTTGGAATCCGTAGAAACTAGAGAAACTTGTCCTTGTACACCAAGTTGTTCAAGGGGACAATACTATGTGAAACATATAGGAATTTCATCTTGTTCAAGAGGGTATGAGCAGAAACTTCAGTAAATGAGAGCAACTCTTTTGGCTACTAATAATGAACAGATTCTTCAGTTTTACAATCAACTGATATCTATGTCTCAGCTAAGTATGTCAGAGACTCTTGCAATATATAACTCAAAACAACATTCTAAACATGAAGGTTTACATGCAGGTGATCTATGAAAATCTCTACCAAATAAATACTCTTATGTGTTCTAAGTTTCAACAGGACTATTAACTTTAGTAATACCTTCAATCAATGAGAAATAAGTGCTATCATCAGGTGTTATACCTTTACTTACCATTTCTTTGAGAAGCTCTTCAGCATGATGACCTTCTTGGTTCTTAAATAACCCTTGTATAAGGGCGTTATAAGTTAGAAGAGTAGGATTGAATCCTTTATCGAGCATCTCATCCCGTACTCTGAAAGCATCCTTTACGTCGCCTCGTCGACTATAACCACTTATCAGTGTATTGAAGCTAACATGGTCGGGCTTAATTCCTCTTCTCTTCATCTCATCGAAAAGTTCACGGGCTTCTTCGACTTTTCCTTCCCTACAACGTCCTTGCATTATTGTATTGAAAGTCACTTCATCGGGACAAACCTTCATCCTATCCATATCTTTCAGAAGCTCAAATGCACGCTCCACATTACCGTTCGAGCAATGACCATCAATCAAAGCATTAAACATAATGACATCGGGCAACATACCTTTACTTGTGATCTTTTTAAACAAATCATCTGCATCCTTCATTCTGTTCTTTTTGCTCAAAACATGAATTAGTGATGTGTATGTCACTTTCGTTGGCCGAATGCCACTCGCCAACATTTCGTCGTGCAGACGAAATGCTTTCTTTGCATTTCCACATCTACAATACCCATTGATCAAGATATTATACGTAATAGCATCGGGAGCAATACCTTTCTCGTGAATTTCCTTGATCATACCTTCAGCTTCATCATATTTTTGCTCCATAAACAATGCATGAATCAACAAGTTATACGTTGATACAGTCGGCATTATGCCCTTCTTCATCATTTCATCCTTATAACCAAAGGCCATATCCAAATTACCCTTATTGCAAAATCCATCAATCAAAGTATTATAAGTTACAGCACTAGGAAGTAACCCATTTTGTACCATTTCTTCAAAAATCTTCGACGCTTCTTCGAGTCGTCCTTGCTTGCACATCCCGCTGATTAGAGAGCCATATGTGTAAGAATCAGGTCGAATATTTTTCCTTTTCATAGTACTCAAAATAGCATCAGCCCCTTCAACTCTCCCTCTCGAACAATATCCATGAACAATCGTATTATACGTAACAACATTCGGTTTAACCCCTAAGCATTCCATATGCCCAATAAAATCCTTAGCCTTCTTCAACTTCCCCTCCTTGCATAGAACATTGATCATTATGTTAAATGTATAAACGCTAGATTTTATCCTCAATCTAAACATCTCAGCATACAAAACCCAAGCTGTTTCAGTTCTGTTCAACTTAAGAAACAAACTCAGCAAATCATTGCAGGTCTCAATCTTGGGTGCAACACCCTTTTCCTTCATCATGTAAAAACACTCGAAAGCTTCATCTGCCCTATTCAATTCGCAACAGGACTTAATCAAGTAATCAAAAACAATACTGCTTTTAACACCCAATTGATCACGAGAAGCCGCTAACAATTCAAAAATCTCCTTAACTGAATTAGTGCCACACCCAACAGCTTGTTTTAGAAGCTGTAAAGTGGGTTTGGGAGATGGAAGACGAGCAACAATGACAATGGCAAGGCAATGGGTTTGAGAATCAAGTAATCCATGTTGTAAATGGTTCAACAATTCCAGAACAATTTGTGGAGAATCGTGAAGATTTTGAAGGGTTTCGGAAATAAGCGACGGAGTCAGAGTGGATTCAACCTGTTTGATGAAATGCCACTGAGAGGACCGGGCGAATTTCTCGAGAGAATTCTGGGTTAGAGTCGAATTGGCTTTTTTGGTTGAATTGGAAGATGGAAATTGAGATTCTGGTGGTGTTTTTTGGGGAGAAATCGAAGAGAAAAGTGCGAAGGATTGGGAATTAGTGGTTGCTTGGAACTTCAACGAAGAAAGCTTCAGAATTTTGTAACGATTCATAGTCGAAGGAAAATGGAGAGAAATTTACCTGAGCTAAGAGCGTCTTCTTCAGTAGTTTATTGGCTGAGACTGAAAGGAAGAAACTGGAAAAAGGTGGAAGCTTTCCTGCTCGTTTTCTCGGCGAAGATGATGAGCTATGGCTATGGAAGCTTTCTTTCCAGAAATAGTGTATTTATAGTAAATATTTATAGGTTTGTTCAATATTTTCAAAAAATATATTTTTTTAAAAAGAATAGGGTAATCTTATTTATTTAGCACACTAAAAAAATATAAAAACTCATAAGATACTCAATTTTTTTTTTTTTAAAAACAATTTATTTAGTGCCCTAAAAAAAATATAAAAATTAATTTTTTTTTTTTAAATAGAGTAATCATTTTATTTAGGATACTAAAATTTGAATTCCAAAAGAATAAATAATATGATAGAATGAAATTGAAAAAAGAAATGATATTAGAGAAAATATATGTTTTGATATTAATGTTTCTTAAATGATCAAGTTGAGACATTGTATCTAGTTTTATCGGTGAGCTTTTTAGGAATCATAGAATCAATAACAAAGTCCTATTTGAAGAGGCTCGTATACAAAACGTCTCGAAATAATAACAGAAATGGTGGATTCAATTAACCAAAAGGCAGAAGCTGAAATTCACGTTGACCATCAATAGGTTTAGCTAAGGCATTTGTAACACAACCTAAATAAGCCTCGCTTACGGATGTCTAAGCAATCAAGAACTTCGACGTAAGATAGAAATTCAAATTTTATTATCACGTAAATTTAAAAAAAAAAAAATCAAAGAAATGTTAAACGTAGAGTAAATCATATTTATGTATAGTAAGATAATCTAGTGATTTACTAGATTGTTACCAAATCTATGATTTAGTAGTTTGTTACCAAATTATGATTTACTGGTTTGTTACCAAATATATGATTTCATAGTTATTTGGTTTGTTACCAAATCTATGATTTCATAGTTTTGTTACCAAATCTATGATTTCATAGTTTGTTAACAAATCTATGATTTAGAATGTAATCTTCATTATACACATCTATAAATACATGAGGTCGTGACCCTAGGTCAGGTCATTGAGCCATTCAACCTAACAAGAAAAACATATTCTTCAAGAGTTCAAAGAAAAGGCTGTTTTTCAGCTCAAAATCATTCTGCTTTTGCAGCATTCGCAGTGTTCTTCAATTTTCAGGAAGGAAAGTAAACCTATGCACCTTGAATTGCTTCCAGCATCTGAACATAACTTCACACACTTTGATCAATCCATAATACAATCTAATAAACAAGTCATTATCCTGAAATTTCCATACACAAAGTAGAAGAACTAAAAATGAGGAACAGCAAAAGATTTAGATCATTAGAGCTTTTCATCCATTCTATGTCTGAAAGTTCGACCAAGGAAATCACCACTTATTAACATTAGATTGTGCACAGATCAAGAATCTATAAATTACTTTTTCAAGGAACAAAAATAGTACTTTGATGCGTTTTTTCGCCTGCAGCTCTACTTTCCTCTATTTGCTAGATCAATTCTGGGGCGGGGAAGAAAACAAAAGAAAAAGAACAAACTATAATGGCGACAGAACGTCTCCGAATTAACAACAATGGATGACAAAATTTCATCTGCAACAACGTGTAGCTGTTTACACCGTGATTCACATTCGAGTACTCTGCAAAAGGTAGCATCCATATAAAGCTAAGAGAATATAATTTCTGTGTTGAAGAAGAAACTAAAGATATTAGAAGACCATTCCAACTATGAAATGATGGATTTTAGAGCGCATCTCTCTGCTACAAAATTAGAGACTTGCACTGATGACATATTTATGGTCGACCCAGAAGACTAGATATATTCTTAAAAGTGGTCTAGATTCAAACAGACCTACTTCCTCCATTTTTCAATCTCGAAGTCGGAGAAGTTGAGTGAAAAAAGATGAACCTATAAAAACAATATATCTTTTTGCTAAGGAAACAAGCATAAGAAACGGTATATGAACAATGACCAAAAAGACTTCCTAAGATGGTCACCGGTAGACGAACAAAAACACGCACAATTAAGTATAACTCTTAGGAAAATATACATTTTCAGGAAATCATCTCTAAACATTGCTCCATTTGATAAGTAAAAAGAAGGGCCAAGTGAAACAACCCAGAAAACAGAGGTAATAAATTCAAATTACTAAAAGGAAAAACGTTTGAAGAACTGCCAGAGCTTCCCATTCCATTTTTTTGACGATTCCAGGCAGTGTGTACAACGGGCAGGTCGTAGTGACAGCGCTACCCTTTCCATATATGATCATGACTTCAGAAAATTGATACGGTAGACAACACAACACAAAGAACATCGTCGCAGGTTTTCCACTGAAGCTAAGGTCTCTCCGGAGTAATGAACTGATCATAGCTATTGAACTAAGCCATATAACTAGCCAATTGAAATCGTCCTCCTGGGGGACTAGCAAAACATATTCTCTTTTCTCAATCCCAAAATCGAAGTCTACTCCAATCACATTTGGTTACAAACTAATTACTGAGCTTCTGGGATAAGATATCTTATTGTGTGCGTTTTAGATTCATCCAGAGCTACTTCCTCCATCTTTCTACCTTCTAGTTAGAGAAGTTAAATCGAGAAAATGATGAGGCCTTCAATATAGTGTACCAAAAATGATCAAAATGATGTCCTTACATGGTTAATCTTTAAGACTAGACGAGCGAAACACAAACACAATAGCATGATGCTTTCAGAAGAAGTATTCATTTTCACAAATTTATCTCTGAACAATTTTATAGCAGGGAAGAGGAGACAAAGAAGTTGGAAATTTTATCACGCTATATAACTAAACAAATGAAATCATCCTCCAGAAGGCTGGAGAGGAAGCATCATATTCTAAAATTCAAAAGGCATATCAGAATATGGACGTATGAACAAGGTAACCTAAAACGAACCGCCAAAACGATTGCATCAAGACATACCGGCGACAATAAACAAGTCTGAAGTTTCGATCGGTTAATTACCTTAATTCTCAAGCGACAACGATAGGCTGTTGCTTGGAGGGCTGAAGTCCTTTGTTATTCTTGTGATCAGAGTCTCCGAGAAAATCTTCCATGTTGTAGATAACTGTGATGTAAAGAGAACAGCTAGGGCACCGAGCAATCTCTTCACCGAGCTTAAGATCCTCCTTCGTAATCTGGAACAAGTCGCCGCAAGGGCATGGGTACGTGAAGGCCTGCAGTTCCTCATTCCACTCCATGTCTTCAATCTCCACGTCGTCGTACGACATCGTTGCTCCGGCGGATTCGGCCGATTTGAGGGCGACGGCGAGTCTTCAACCGCCGAGTTCGGAGGAAGACGAAGAGGATTGAGGAAGAGCGAGGGCTTTGGGTTTGTCTGGACTCTGAATATCGGAAGACCGCGTCCAATTTAGGCTGTAATCGTAACCCGCGTTAAATTTATTCTTTCTTTTTTTCTAATTAAAAAAATTATAAAATTTAATTAGTTTAATTAAATGTTATAATTATGGGAAGATTCTCTCCCATTCAGTAGAAATCTCTTATCATAGTAGACGGGTTTTAAAACATTGAACGGAAACACATAAGGGAAAGTTCAAAAAAGACAATATTTGTCCGCGATGGGCTTGAGCGCTTATAAATTGTATCAGGGTCAAGCACCACACGGTGTGCCAGCGAAAACTCTGACCTCCAAGGGGGTAGATTGTGAGATCTCATATTGATTGAAAAGGAAACGAAACATTCCTTATAAGAGTAAGAGCGTGGAAACCTCACCCTAGGGATTTCCGGAAGGAAAAGCCCAAGAAAGATAATATCTACTAACAATGGGCTTGAGCTCTTACAAAGAGCCACCCCATAAGAGCACGTCCTTAGATATCCTAGTGACTCAACCCCACTATTACAAAGAATACAAGCATTAAGAACAACAAAATACCGACAACTAATGCAATCACACACAACAAATCAAGCTATCATAGAATGATCGAGAATATTACCACTAAACCAAAGACAATTATAGTAAGGAACCACGAGACATCTAGGGCACTAAAAGTCAAACCACACGATCACTAACACCTGCTCAAAGAGATCGCTCACGAAATTATCCCACCATAATATATCGACACGATTGCAAGACACCCATAGTTTCAATTGTTTGAATTTTTCATTTAGAAAACAATGAATTGAAGTTAAGTGTTTTGAAAAAGAAACCATTTCCAAATGAAAAATGGATATTAAGAATATCCATTGGGCCAACCATAATGGGCGCAAACCGTGTGCCCAAACAGAACTGCGTGCGCCTCTCGTCTCTTCCCGCCCTCACACACATACACACACAGACTTCAAACTTCCCCAAATCGCCATCTCATCGCTCTCCTTATAAACCCTAACTGATTCCTCTCTCGCATTCATTCCCCAAACCAAATCTCCTTTTCTTCTCTTCACAAATCACTTTCTATATGAAGATTTCGCCTACCGTAGATATGTGCATAAGCGAGCTCGCCAAGTTCCGCGATCGATTCGCAGGCTCTTCCAGACGGTTCTTCCCGAAGCTCAGAGACGAATCAACGACAGATCGCCGGGAGAAATCGATCGAGGAGGCTACGAAACAGACCAGAGCAATCGATGATCGGAAAGAGGTGATTCTTTCGGAATCCACTATTTTCTTGCTTAACGATCGGTTTGTTGTTTGGTGATGTGAATGTGAGGCCGTTACTGGCGAGATTTTTGAGTTTGTAATGTAAATCTGAAGATGTTTTTGTGACGAATTTATGTTCGATCTCTCTGTTTTTGTGACGACGGTGCAGAAATTGCCCCTATCGCGATGTAGGAGACGAGTAAACATTGCATCATTTCGTCTCAAATTAACATTTCTCACCATTTTTTTTTAATTAGGTTTAAATATATTAGGGAAAATTGCATCATGAGAAACCACTACCAAAGAAAATGGTGAAATTGATATGAACTTTTCCTTAAACTTTCTTCCTTGTGTATATCTGTGAATTCTTATAAATTTGATAGTTTAACGATTAAATTTATAAATTCAAAAAAACTAAATAGATACAAATTTTAATCATTTAAAAATAGTTTGTATCTAAATTGATTCAATAATAATAATAAATTTAAAAAATCGTATAAACAATAATTAAGTAATTTTTTTTTATTGGTGAATTGTTATCATAGTTTATTATTAAAATTCATAGTATAATGACGAATTTTAGTTTATGATTTGTATATCTTATTCTTGTGGTTATATAAGAATCTAAATCCGTAAAATCACTTCTGTTATGATCTTCTATATTCTAGGTCTTTCCGTTCCTTCAACTGGCTTATGTTTTTCATGGGAACTGGCTTATGTTTTTCATGTAGCATTTAGGCCAAATGACTCGATGAAATTATGTCAATACTTCCACATATTTCGAGTAACGTAAGAGACATGTTTATTTTTTCCCTTGGAAATCCTTAGAATTACCACGGCTTAGCTTTCAATTTTCCTTTGACTATCAAATGAAATGGGAATAACCGATCCTCTTTTTGAAACAAGGGATGCTTCTGGTTCTCTAGTGGTTGAAACAATTTAGTCGGCGACAGAACAAATCTGTTTATTTTTCAAATGATTCATATCGTCAAGTGTACCCATTCCAAATCTCAGTCCAATCAAATGATCGGTATATCTCGCAGTAACCAAAATGTATGGTTCTCATGTATATCAAGATTAAGTCTCTGGTTCAGATTTCGATTTCGTAGACCAATCCTTCCTAATTCACATCTTTGTTGAAAGAATTTCTTTTGTAATTCCTTACATAAGGATTCAGAAAATACGGAATCTCCACCTACACGAAGAAAATTGTTGATAAAACTCTAAAATGGCATTTTCTTTTGATCCATTTTTGTTTCTCCTTATCATTCAGGAAAGACAAAAAAATTTCAGGGTAGCAAACATTCTCGAGAATTTCTCTTAGATAATAGAACTAGAATAGATATGTTCTGTTTCCTACTCACGAGCCCATATCCTTGCTTTTCGATCCATCTCTAATTCTAATCTTCCTCCCCAATCAGATATTTCCCCATATTACTATATCTCTAAAGTCAATAATTTTATGAGGAACTACTGAATTCTCGGTTAATAACTTTATATGAGGAACTACTAACTTTATATAAGGAACTACTGAATTAAGTCGGTAACTTTATATGAGGAACTATGGAACTCAATTATTTGCTTACTATTCAGTTTTCTGTTGTGGTCTATCCTATAGAGGTACTCAAATTGGATCCGTGATCAATTTCTAGATTTTCTTGTAAACCTAATTGGTTCGTAAATTAGTATGTTTTTTGTTCCAAATTTTTTTTAAAAAAACGGCTCATATATTATTGGTACCAAATTGATATAATTTTAATATATGTTCATATTGACACGTCAATACGCCCAAAATTTGTACATAATTTTTTAAAATAGACCCAAACGTGTAATTTAGCGTTTAAAATTAATATTCCCTCGACGAAAAAATAAGATTTAAAATGGTAATAATATGTAAAGAAAAAGGTAAAAAAAAAAAAAAAAAAAAGTGAGAGAATATTACAGCTTTATATATAAGCTAGGGTAAACTACAAACATCTGTATGAATATGTGGCCTAAAATTTATCTACAAAAAGAAAGACACAACAAAACAGAATATTAAATCCAAACTTTCCTTTTCATACCTGAAAAATTCGGTATTCACAAACCCCCACCCCTAACAAACTCTCTATTTGCAATCCAAGCACGTTTTTGTAGACTCACCTGCAACCCCCTCTCCCAACACGTGGCGGGATTGCATTGGTGTAGAGGCCTTGAGTTCCATAGACTCTTCCCGCAGGGAATCCGACTTTCTGTAACTACCCAAAACGCCATGCAAAACGGCACGCCTGGTACTCCTTTTTTCTGCCTTTACTGCTTCTTGTAGGTCAGGTACGGCCTATCCGCGTCCGCGAGTTTTAGCAGCTCCGACGCGTTCTCTACCACGCGCCACACCTTCACCGACCGGTCCAGGCTACCACTATACACAATCCATCGCCGGTATAACTTTTTGCCATTGTCCTCCTCTTTCGGCGGCGATGGACATTCTTCTTCGTCGTCTTCCTTAACGGCTAAGCATTTGACCGGCCCGGAGTGGCCGGTTAGAACTGAGAGACATGTGTGAGATCCGCTGTTTTCTTCCCTCCGCCACACGCAAATGTTTTTGTCCGCCGATCCACTGAACACCAAGTTTCCGGCAGTCGCTAAGCACAGTACAGCCAGTTTATGGCCGTGGAGGACGCCGCCGTGTGACAAATGCTTCTCGCTCTCCCAATAATTCACTACTCCGTCTGATGAACCGCAGTACAACACTGCCGATGATTTATTCACAGCCAACGCGGTTATCGCATTTTCTTGCTTCAACAACACCTGAACCAGAAAATGCTTTGTGCCTTTCCCCTGTAACTCCCTCCGCCAGACCTTCACTGTTCCATCCGCGGATCCGGTGAATACAAGGCTTTCTAATCCAGATGCGACGGCGTTCACGGCGTCGTCGTGAGCGGCGATTGATTCGAGGCATTTCGAATCTGCGATTCGCCAGACCTTCATCGTTTTGTCCCAAGATCCAGAGTACAAAAGCCCTAACTCCTCGTTCAGACTCATCGATGAAATGGCGTCGAAATGCTTTATACGGAGGACGTTACGGTTGCGCCGGACTTTCACGTAATTTTTCGGATTCATCGAGCTTTTGACGAATTCCTTCAATGTCGGCAGGCTTCCGATTCGGCTATGATATTTCGGATTCTTCGACGAAACCTTCCATATACGAATCTTTCCGTCTTGATGTCCTGTGAATATTCTATCTCCGTACAAGATTATCGCCTTCACCAAACCACTGTTCGATTTAAATCCAGCGTACTCCTCCAAATTCTTCCACACGCGAATGTTCTTGCTATCAGATCCAGTGTACAACAAATCCCCTGCTACCGCTAACGAATACACATGACCTTCCTCTCGCACCAGAGAGCCGACGAGTCCACTCCGAGCGAAGAATCCATCGTCGTACAGATTTATCCCCGACGGAACGATCCACGGAGATTTTGAATACGGCGAAGCAGATTGATTCCACGGCGACATCAAGTACGGCGAAGCCTCACCGCTCGCCGGCGATTTCTCATAGTTATAAACCGGACTAGTTGCAGTGGAGGCATTGCTATGCCGGGGAGAGAGATCGTCATCGTCACCGGCCAAAATCGCCGGATCGGACTGTAAATAAGCTCCAAATCGCTTCCGATTCAATCCACTCCGCCGCTCCATCATCATGGCTCCTCTTCCTTGCTCCTCTCTCATCTAGAATCGAAGAATCAAACCCCCAAGAAATCGTTTCAAAATTCTTCTTTAGAGAATTAACGAAATTTCAATACACCTAACAA